TCAACTGCGTATCGATGTCCTATTAGCGAAATAATCAGTAATTTGTTGACTTCTTCCTTCGGAAAATTTCTGAGGAAGACGAAATATTAATAACATCCGCGATAATCAATTGCGTTCTCGAGGATGCAAGAGCGAAGTAAAATGTGTTGTATAAGTAAATATCACTAAATAGCATAAGAATATGTAACCCGCGGCTTTCTCTAAGAATAAACTCGACAGATAAGATTCGTCGCCCAAAGATTGAAGCGTATCGTGGATCGCGACGCACTCACCACTCCGACGCACATTCGCACTTGACGTTCACCTGCAGCTGCGTGTGCTCCTTGTGGTAAACGCACGATATTCGCTCGTTGCACATTCCCACGCGTTTCTTAATTCGCAGCCAATGCAGCGCGACTTCGCATTTCCTGAGGAACCGATTCTTGTAGTTGCGGGAGATGCTCAGCGCTGTCGAGATGTTCTCCTTGCTGCTGTAGTCTAACCGCCGAATTCGCGAGGGAGTCTTCGTTCTGCGAGTCAGGTTCATCTCGTCGCGCGAGACAATGGTGGAGGAGAAGAGGCAAACGAAATGGATCACAAAATTCCGTTTAATGTGGATGAAATATCATGAACAACCTCGAACAGTCCGTTGATTTCCGCTCTGCCGGCCACAAACGGATTGCGCCGCCGAGGACACATCGTGCCGACTCGTTTTCTCGTCCGACGAAATTCGCGAGAGGCTAGATACTAGAGTACGGACGGCTACTGCTGATCAACGACGCGAATCATTACGGGGCGCGTAGTGATAAGGGAACGCGGTGCTGTTATCAGCACGCCAAGCCGAACGATACGATAATATGGGAACGCGCGGCGTGGTTCTGTTCGACGCGAACTTACCGATTGTTCGCGACATCTCTGCGTGCAAACACCTGTGTGATGCGTTTACGCACCTGACGTGCCGATTACGCGCGCGCGCGGACGTTCGCTTGTCGAGTTGTTGACTCATGGAAATTGAATTGCGCGCACATATTATGGAGATTAAAGAGCGTCGCGCCGCTCTGTCACCGTCGATACACTCGCTATTATAATTTCAACGCGCGCGATGAATACGCGATCGAGAATACGCGATTAATTCGTGAATTTGAGGTCTGTACTTTCGCTAATGGGGGATTAATGGGGTGGCCGTGCGATCCTAATCGCGCGCTTCATTGACCTTGTCAAACCGCGGCAGCTTTTGGACGGTATAAGAGTAGAATTGGAAAATCGAATTTCTGAATTGACTCTCTTAATCATTTATTTGGCAATTGCCACAGACCAAATTTTGACCCCAATTTCGACCTTAATATTAGATTCAATCTATCTTAATATTAGATTCTACTTTGATACTTTGAAGCCTATACGAAGTCTGTCTGAAAATTATCCGATCTTCCGCAATATAAAGAGAAATACTCTGAACCAATGGCGATTATGTTCTCTTCAGAGTATTCTTCTTTGCCATAACCTTCTTCCAGCGCTGCTTTCACTTCTTGAAGCAGTCCTAGAATTCAGTTTCTGAAATACTCAACAGCTATCTCGTCGCATTCTGTTTTATATCCTCCACATCGTCAAATCTCTTTCCTTTTAAGAGGTTTTTCAGTTTCGGAAACAGCCAAAAGTCACTTGCCAAAACAATACATAATTACGTTCAGAACATATTATTTATTTTGTTTAAACTTTCAAAAATGTTTCTGATTTCAGAAGGAGTATTTCACTGATAATCGGTGAATATTCATTAGACATACCATTCACAGATATCACTGATTTTTGGTAGAAACGCTCCTTCTTCTTATATCTTTCTGATTTTGACCGGTGGAAATAAGATATTATTGGAAAATCTATAGTATAGTGTAGTTCGTTATATGATACATTGAATACAACTATTGCGTTTACGACGATGGAATTATCCAGATAGACTTTTGTGATTATCGATATATAAACTTTTATGATTAATATACATACAGAAAAATACATATCTTATTCAAATAAATGTTACTTCATGTACTTCAAGTATTTCTGTATAAGTTTATACAGTCAGTACAAGAACGTGTATGCTATTTTTAGAATACAAAGTCTTTTTCAACATTATGAACACAGTTTTAATGTATATTACATGCACTAAAATGCGTTTATGACATCCAATCCTTTGTCGATTATGTCTTGGCCGTGTCCAGGCATGCTCTCAACGAGATTTTCCGGGTAATATCTCTGATTACGATTTATTGTGCAAAGCTGATGCGACAACTGTTTCAAAATGAAATTCGTTGAATGTGAAAATTCGTTTTTCTGTGAAAATTCATTTTTCTCGAAGCTTTGTTTTCGTGACTGCCCATATATTTTCAATGGGATTAGTATCGGGAGACTGTGAGGACCACCCATTGTAATGATGCCGTTTTCACGTTTCCATTCCACGTATGTCCGGCTTTTGTGTTTCGTACGACTATTGTGCAGGCACTAACAAAACTGAAATCTAGCTTTCACAGTATTCTAACTTAATATATTACTATATCTTGCTGCATGCAAATGTTGCATGCTAGATACTAATTATTGAAATTATTGCATATACGTGCTTGCCACTGACTGACTGATATCCGTTAATCTACCATAATCTATCGTAAGTTCATTAGAAATATTTGATTTATTCAAAATACAACTTATTCAAAATACGAATTCTGGTTAGTTTAGCATTTCAATCAACAATACTAAATTAGAATAAAAATTTGGTTTGCTTATTATCACATAGAATCAAACCAACTTTTCTTCGATAATTTATAATATTTTTGTAAAAAGAGTAAATTCTTTTCTTTTGAGTACATGATGAGATAATCTTTTTAAAATTTGTAATGAATATATTTTAAGAATATTATGTAAAGAGAGAAAATAATCTTTATTGAAGATAACCATTATTTAAAAGAAGGAAAGTGAATGCTTTTCTTAGCAGTAAAATAATATTTTTCTGTGTGTTTCGACATTTTAATGTGGCGGTTTTTAATTAACAATGTTAAATATTTCGTTATTCTGTTATTTCTATAGGTACCGTGTGAACGACTCATAAGGTCATAGCAACTTTTGTAAAATTAATAAAATTGCTGCTGAATATCTATCTGGTTAACGAGTTTCGTGCGCGCTTCATGTGCGATCACACTGCGCTTGCAAACTGCATCAGTTAATGGAAACAGTCGCTGCTATCAATCTTTCAGCGAGATTTTACTGATTGCAGAACTATATTTACAACTGAAGCATCAGTTATAAGTATAGCATTTCAGTAAATAATATATTAATTGCACTTTATGAGTACGCTTCGAGATATTTTATTCATGGCAATTTTTTATTATTATTGTTAAATTCCAATTGAAGTACAGGTATGTCGCATATTCTGGAAACATACAATGCTGAAACATCGCGGGTTGGAAAATTGAATGGAAATTGCGCAAGAGTCATTCAACCGAGAGAGAGAGAGAGAGAGAGAGAGAGAGAGAGAGGCTCGTTAGATATTTATTTCAAACTTGCCGTCACTTCATGTCGATTAGAATCTTTACGCGATGCATGATGCGTCGCATACACGCTACACGCCGCGTTCATTCATAAAATCGTTCGCCTGCTACAAAAGAATTCGTAGATGAAGACGTGAGCGAGTTATTTTCTCAACGTTAGATCGACTAATTATTTATTCTTGATTATTTGCGTATCACGAAGTGTTTGTCGACGCTCCTTTGCACAATGATTACAATCTTAATGGCATCGTTATCGTTAACGATCTTTACCTGTCAGGCGTTTCCATAAATAAACGTTAGCCGCAATTAGGGTTCACGGTCATTATCTACCCTCGCTTAGTTTCGTCCAATTAATTTTAGCCTCTCTATTATCGATTGTTGTTATAGTAGATGAAATAACTTTGAAACGGTAGAATATAACTGGATTAAAATTCTTTAATCCCCGTACTGCTCTCGAAAGAATATGAGGCGTGGTGACTAATAAAGTGCAAACTCACTTTATCCTACATTTTCACATATTTGTTAAACTCCTTCGTATTCATGTTTATATTATGCAATTGTGTCGGTCTTTAATTAACTGTTAAATATTTCACCGTTCTATATGTATATTTCGTTCTAATTAAGGCAGACACGCTATACATTCTGGGAATGCACGACGCTGAAATGTCACGCGTCGGGAAACTGAATGATAAAGGTAATTATCTTTAGCTTATACAGGATGCAAAATGTCCCATATTACGTGTACACGTGTAGGTTAGCTCATACTAAACACAAAATTCCTCTACCATTTTGCAAACAAATACGCAAGATTTTTATTTTTAAGTTAATTAAGAAAGATTAGCGAATGAGGTCACGCGACAGATGAGCTGTATAAATAGGAATAACGACGCCTGCAGTCGTGTGCATATAGATTAGGTCAGACTGAATAAAAAAGTCTTGTACCAGTTTACAAATAATCTTGCGAATTTTTGAGTTACTAATTGAAAAAATTGGCGGCTGATCGTGCGCGATAATGCACCCGTGTTCTCTAATTAATAAATAAAAATCTACGTAGTTTGCAAAATGGTAGAAGACTTTTTTGTTCAATTTGACCTAATCTACAAATACATACGACAGCAAAAGCTTCGTCATCATAACTCATCTGTTGTGATTATCTGCCAATCTTCTTTAGTTAATAATTCAAAATTTTACGTGCTCGTTTGTAAAATGGTAGAGGAATTTTGTGTTCAATTTTATCTAATCTATATATGTAGACGGTAACAAGTATAGAACACTTTGCGTCAGAGATGATGTGCATAAGAGCACCTTTGGGATAAAATTAAGTGCATATAATTGCACTTAATAGTTGATAATTGAAAAAAAAGTAATCCAAATTACACAAAAAGAAAATCCACAGTTGAAGAGTTGATTTACAAAAATACGCACGGTTTCTCGTCCGCAATCCGCGATTAAAGATGCAATCTTTAGAGAAATGATTGTTTGTTCACTCACCCATTGATGATGGAAGCGGATTCATCGGTGGTTGGTGGGCCCGACACCTGGACTTTGGGCACCGCATAACCGTCCAACTGTCCGTGGCTCTGTCCATGGCTGTGAGCGTGACCTTGGTGATGGTGGTGATGTTGCTGCTGCTGTTGTTGTTGTTGTTGTTGTTGTTGTTGCTGCTGCTGCTGATGTTGGGCGGTGGAGTAATCATCGCTGTCGCTGCTCGGCGGTTGCTCCGATCCAACGCCACGAGGTCTAAAACAGAAGGAGACAGATTGGAGTGACGTATAGTCTTAAAATATACTCACCACAAATCTGAGAATATTATATTAATATAATATTAATACAAATCGACTGATAAAGTTGCTGCCAAATTTGCGCACATCTGCCTTTATGAGAATTCCGAGTATATGAAATAAATTTGATTCTTATGAATTTGTGACAGTTTTATGAAGTTATAAAATATCTGTGAAATACAAGTAACACATTTACTTGAATACAGCATATATTTTTCTATGTGTGGAAGAAAGACATGAGACATTTCGAGAGGAGTCTCATGTCTTCCTCATCAAGTCTTGCGCTCGAATTCTAGAAAACGCTACCGAACTGTACGCTTCATAGTTGGGTTAATGGTCACGTCCTAAAAAAATTCTTATTTCCACGAAACCATTAATTTATTTATTTATTTATTACTTGAGCGAAATATATCATTGTGGACATAAATATCGCGCTTCTCATCAGGCGGCCGAGGCGAAACAGCGTCGGGACCTTTCTGATAATACTCAACGAGGCTGATCAAATCGGCCCACTCTGTTGCGGTTCAGAGGTCGACGGGGAGGTCGAGCTTTCAATCCGATTCCGCGATTCCACGATCGATTGTCATAGGCGTGTGTTGTTTTCTCTTCAGCTCGCGCGACATAAAAAGACACGTATCGATTCCATTGGAGATGGGAGACTGTATGGTGCGCCTATGGTGCTTCCCGTGTATTTTAATCCCGCGTTATAGAGATGCATAGATGCAGATCAGGGGAATATATATCTCGGTGTAACATGCAAATCTCCATTGAAATATATTCTAATACGGAAAACTGCGGGACTGAAAATATCTCGACCTTGCCTCTGAAAGCACTTCAGTTTCTCAACTAGAGACTGACATGTTCCAGACACGACGACGAACAAACAGCAAATGTCACGACCAACTGTAAGCAGAAGCGCGACGAATCCTATTCGGACGCGAATTGGAAAACCGAATAGTCGGAGTTAACTAACCCGCGCAATCGACTCCATCTCGGTGCACGGATAAAGTATGATGTCTCTTGACAAGAGAGGGAAGATTTCAATCTCTTCTAGACCGCGTTTATTCAGACCGTTTATTCATCACCGAGACAATTTTCGCTCGCGAATCAGCTTGCTTCACTTTTTGTGCCTAGCAGTGCAACGTTCACGATGCATTTTAAGAGCGTTTATCAGTTTAGAATTTTTTTCCAATTCAACAGTGTTCTTCGGCTTTAATCACTCGTAAGGTAAAACACCTAAATATTGACATCCCTTAATTATTGACACTCCAGAAGAAAACTAGGTTTATCTTGTGACCAGCATTGTAGTTAAACTTCTTAACTGCACTTTATGATTCCACAAGAAAGAACTTTATAACTAAAACTGTGAATAACTGTCGCTGCCCGAGTCGAAATTTTAGCCCTTCGATCTAACCTTCTAACGTCTGTATATTCTGAAGGATCAGTGTATGTTTAATATACACAGAAACTGAAGTCCTATTTAACACCACTAAATGGCAGAAAATGCATGAAATGCCACTTGAAGGTTTTAAAGAGGATCTCTCAGTCAATGTTGGTAGATTAAATAAAAAAAGCTAATATAGACTTCAGAGTAACAAAGTAGGCGTTAAATGGAATATTGAAAAGATAAAGCAGGATCAAATTTTCGACTCGGGTAGTCGTAAGAAACACCAGCTTTTTCTAGAATGCCCATGACTAAGGATGATTGACTGGTTGTCAATAAACGGATGTTTTATTCTATGCTCGATCTTGCAATAGCTCGCTGCGATTTTCATTCCGTATTCTTATGTGGCCCATTTCGCGCAGAGAGGTGACACGAGTTACACATGATCGCGGAATCGATCGTCCTCAACTGTCTGGCATTTCGCCAGTGCAGGCGCATTATTCCGGAAGTATATTTCCGGAACGACGATGCATGCTCAACGGCGAGTATTAGGAAAAATTATTCGCGAGTTCTCAGTACGTCCTACCTCCTGATACGCCAATGTCGTGATTGAAAGTGTCTTTAATGGGATAAATATGTCTGTCTCGAAAGATCGAAGCTATCCGGACAGCACGAACTTCTAAAAAACGTCTGAAGGACATGAAAGATATGACGTTTTCAAGATATCCTTTAGAAGTTCGTGTTATCTGGCAATATCTTTATCTCCCATTTAGCATCGAATGGAACAATCTTTCCGTTTCGATTCGTGTGTTACGATATTTTTCAAATAACGACAGCGATAGCTGTGGTCTGCTTGCGGGCTGACTCGAATCTAACTCGCCGTATCTAAAAAGATACTTCTTTCAAAGTTCGGAAAAATCAAATAGCTTTCTTTCTACGTTAGGCTCGATTCTCTCAGACTCTAAAAAAGTGATCACACTGCTGTTGCGACTCGAGCCTGTAGAAATTTACTCTCATCCTGATCGATCCCAACCAACTATCTAGTGTCAGGTCCTGATAAGTCATGTAAGCCAAAGTAGCAATTAAGACGTTATTGAATAAGAATTATTGATAATTAAGACTTCATGACGTGTTACTTTATACAGACTAGTAAATTGATTGCGATCAACCTGATCAGGACTATAGGTAAATTTCTGATCGGGTTTAAATGTTTAAACGAGATATATCCCAGAGGTTTCACGCACTTTCGAGTCGTCGGCGTATTCACATATGAAGGGATGAGGTCGGTCGATCGTGAATGACAAATAGTCGAGCAAGTTACATCTTGGAATTATATGGGTCTACGATTACCACGACCATACTACGAAAACCAGAGGTCGACGTGAACGAGAACTCATCTCTACTTCGGCAAACTCTCGTGTAAAGTTCGCGAGCCGGTGTTCACGCAGCTTTCGCTCGCACCTGCGGTGAGCGTTATCGTAGCTGGCAGTCCAGTAGAGAGGCGCCACTGTCCCGCGTTGCTGTTCACAGCGAACACATGCAAAGGCTGCCTTCCGAGCTGGAACTGGGTCTCTTTGCCCCACGCGAGAGAAGCGCGGCTTCAATTATTCCAATCTTCCCGCATCCTCCTTCCGTTTCTCGCCTCGCCGCGTCGAGAACGCGTCATGCGACCCGCCGGCGACCTCGGCTGCCTAAGCGCGAGGCATCAGTCCGGCCTCCAGGTAGCGTTATCAGCCGGCCGGCCTTCGTTTATCTCTCCTTCGGCACACGTCCGCTCCCTCTCGAAACGTGGACGTTGATCGTCGACGTGGTTCTCTTCTTCTCTCCTTCTCGAGGATGCTGGATTCTCTGCCGCTCTCAGGCTGCTCTTGAAAGCTCCTCTCGACGCTCTCGAAATTATCACCGAAGATCCCGTCGCTCGCCGAACACCGTCGACCAAGAGCGTTCACCAGGAGTCGGAGCACGAGCAATTGGCACTATCTGCGCCGAGGAAGACGCGCACCGACCTCGCTGACGAGATAGACGAGCGAGATGGAGGATAACGACGTCGCGCGCCGTTGCCACTGTCGTCTCTTCCGTCGTTTCCTTCTCCACGTCCACCTCCTCCTTCTCCGCTGCCGTTGTCGCTCTTCTCCGACGTCGATCGCGCGTCCACCGTGATACTCCCGGACGATAGTCCTCTGTCGACTCCCGAGAGGAGGAATACGGCAATGCGGCGCGAAGCGTGGAGCATGCGAGCCGCAGTCCACGCTCGTGCTACTCGTCTCCGCGACGCTCTCTCGGCGGCGCTTTCGCGGTTGGTGGGTGTATGTACGTGTACCTGCGCCACGGTGTGAGGCACCCCGCACGTACACACCACAAGCGCGTACACCAATAGCCTGGCGTCTGCGCCGCGCGAGTCACCTATTGACCGAATATCATCGCGATAGGTATATAGACGATTATACACGCACACACAACACACACATATGTACACACGTATACCAGCCTGAAAGAACAAAGCGGAGCCGCATGGCGTGTGGTTGCGCTCGCTACTTGCAGGTAAATCTCGAGGCTCTCTCTTCTCTCGCGGAAGTCGCCGACCAATCGAAATTGTGGTTGTTGTCTGAAGATGTCAGAGTTCCTTTGTTTCCCGGAACAGCTCAGTTTTTCCGTTGTCCTGGGCTTTTTCGAATGCTATCAGAGACGTCAATTTGTCCCACACTAGGCCAAACTATCCCAGCTTATTCGGGTTCAAAGGATTTTTCAAATGCTTCTGACAAGAAATGACTTTCTCAAGAAAATTAACATAGCTCTGGTAAATATAATTACTCCCCGGGTAGACCCATATAGACTTTCATGATTATTATCATGTCAGACAACCGATGATGGAAATCTTATAATTTTTTTAATTGCATCGAATATCGAATATCGTATTAAATTAATTATTAAATTTTTGTATCACACAACAGTATAAATAATATATTGATGCAATAACAAATTTACTCAAAATTACCCTCAGGTTCTCATGTTACGTTTAACGTGACGAATTTGATTATTCATTTTCATATTTCTATTTTGTCATTCTATGTGATAAATATGAGTGCCATCTGATCAGTCATAAAGAACTCAACGTTGCTGAATTTCGTGATTTAATATACTTAAACCTGCTGTATATATCAAGTTTACGTGCATCAGTCTATCGGGTTCTTCTTCAAGTAAGAATAACAACAGTTTTATCTTAACAACATAATTTCTGTTTCTACTATATGCAACGGGTCTTCATTGTTGTTAAATTATTTTTCAGATAGAAATCTATAGATAAAATATTCCATATATTTATATGTATATGAATAATTTTGAGTGATCTTCCTTGCTCTACATATTTATGAAGTGTCCCGGACTGGGAAATTTAATCATCTTAATTATCTGTCGCTCGCTATCTTTGCTCGCTATGTTTATAGTCTCCATGGGCGAAATTGTTTCCGCCCCTGGCTTCCCGCGCGACTCATCGCAGCGGCTCTCACGCAAGATTCATCTTCATCATCGTCATCGGCGGATCTTATCGGCTCGCGTTGAAAATAGCCGCGCGATCTTGTCAGCTCACACCGATAACATCCTCACCTTTCACCTTTTACTTTCGGCCGAGAATTACGCGATCGATCCTCCGCTAGGCGAGCCTATCATCCCATTGTGCTCATCTTCTGCTCTCTGTATTTGCTCTGTACCTTCCCCTGGAGGATTCCTTATCTCTCTTCCGTTTTCCTTCTCGTGAGAGGCAGTTACTCCTCTTTCTCTTTCTCGTTACGTCGCGCGACAGTCTCTGTCACACGTCGATCGTCTATTTAGCCTTGTCCACGCGTTCCTCCGCTACTAAGAGGAGTATTCTTCCACAGCACGCGCACACAATGTACCTGGAGGACATTCTTCATTCCGCTCCTACGCAGCCAATCAATTGCCGCTCGTGGTATCGAGACCGCCAACAAACATCACCGCCAAGTTCGATTTTTCAGCGGAGTATAGCGCCATTTCAGCCGCCTTTCACATCTCCTCTCTGTTTTAAGCCTAATCTACAATGTGTTCTTTGCTTCTTGTTTTCTGCCTTTTATCTCTTGCGTCTTTGCTTCTCGATGTACTGTTTTACCGGCGATTGTGTCTTTTGTCACGTGTCGCTTGTCTCTTCGGAAATTCGTCAACTTTTAAGCCTGATCTACAACATACTCTTTGCGTTCTATTTCTTGTCTTCTGTCTTTTTCTGGCTTAAAGCTTAAAGTCAAAGCTTAAAGCTTAAGCGTAAAACTTAAGGTTTGAGTCAGAAAGAGATAAAGAGAAAAAAAACAGAAAGCAAATAATACATTATAGATCAAGTTTAAAGTTTAAAATTTAAGGTTTGAGTCAGAAAGAGATAAAGAGAAAGAAACAGGAAGCAAATAACACATTATAGATCAAGTTTTATCTTGAAGCGACAATAACAAAAAACACAAGTCACCATGAAATCAATAAAGAAAATTGGTCAACCTATTATCTAATCAAAACGATTTATTCTGATTCTGGTCCACGTGAAGTGACACTTTTTCTTAGAGGGAACAAATTGTACACAATGATGTTTCTTGGTTCTAGACGAGAAGAAACAAGAAAAGCAGAAGCAATGAAACAAGATACAAAGAGCACATTGTAAATTAGCTTTAATGACAGCTTTAATGATAGCGACGAGACACGTTGCAGTCTGTTGCTGTGTTGTACGTCGAACCTCATGCCGCAGCCGGGCATTTAATCGTCCCGCGAGACTTCCTCGATGAAGAAGGGGTTGCGCAACTAGCCCTTCCACTCACTCCCATTCCGACCGGCAGCAGCGGCCCGCGGAAGTTCGTCTCAACGTTCCGCACCGGCACTGGAGGGTCGATCGAGACGGGGATTCCGAGCGTTCGTCGTGAGAGATCGCCCGCGACGTTGTTCGCACAAAAATCAGTGCCGTTGCGCACGTCGAGCGCACCGAGTGGCGTTATCGTATTGCGTCGAAATTCTTAACTTGTCAGGGAAAAAAGGGACAAATTAAAAGAGAACACGCGAAATCGCATGCCGTGACATTGAGTCGTACATGAATGATGCTACGAAGGTAAAAGTATCTAATCCTGGACACACACACTACATATTCTTGTTGTGCTGATTTTTAAATACGAATATTTAAATATTTAACATAGAACATATGTATATATTCAATATATGTACACATATATCCTCTGTGTTAAACATAATTATAAGCTAGACGGACTTCCATGATCATCACGACGTGAGACAATTGATGATGAATAATTTTAAATTGTTTTAAAACCTTTCACAATGTTGTAAATTATATTTATGAGACAAGCATACTGTGTTGAATGAATCATTAAGTTAATATTATACAATAACGTATTTTTTTTGTTATATCAATGTAAAGCAACAGATTTACTAAAGTTACACTCAGATTTTTATAATGCATTTTACAAGACAATTTTGATAATTTCTTTTTTATATTTTTTTCTCTATTTTCATTTCCATTTTTCTATTTTATGTGATAAATATGAGTGTCAGATGAGCCATTCGTAAACAATATTTAGAAATCGACTAATGAAGTTACTGAAATTCACGTACACTTGTCCATCTAAGAAGGAAAATATCCAAATAGATTCTCATTATTGTCACGTGACCATTGACCTTATATTTTTTTTAATTACATCAATAAAGCGCAAATATACCGTATTGAATTAATCATTGATGTAGTAAATATATTGTATCGAATTAATTATTGATGCAGCAATAAATTTACTAAAAGTTATACCCAGATTTCCATATTATATTTTACATGATGTTTTTTTGAATAAATCCTGATAGAGTGATATACATAAACGTTACAGCAACTTTAAATACATCAGTCCTTCATGACTAATCATTGTACTCATATTTATCATATAGAATGATGAAATAAAAAAGAATACGAAAAGAGATGTCCCAAATAATGTCGTGATAAATATAATATTAAAATCTAAATGTGACTTTTAATAAATTTGTTACTGCATTAATGTAACAAAAAATTTACATTATTATATAAAGTAAACTTAATAATTAATTTAATACACATAGTATAATCATTTTATAAGTGCAATTAAAGAATTGTAAAATTTCTATCGTCGATTGTGTCTCATGTCGTGATAATGAAAGTTTATTCGGAAATTTTGATTATTTTTTTATATTTTTTTCGTATTTCTATTTTGTTATATGTGATAAAAAGATTATGAGTGTTATATGGGCCGCTCATAAGGGACGTAATCTTTACAAATCGACTAGCAAAATTGCTACTAAATTCACGTATATTTGTCTATCTGGGAAACAAAATATCCAGATAGGCCTTCATGATTATCATGACGTGAAACTATGATGGGAAACTTATAATTCTTTTAATTGCTTTGATGAACAAATATACTGTATTTAATTAATTATTGACGTAGAAGTGTCGTTTTAAGTAAACTTTTATCTTTTTTTCGTATTTCTTTTGTATTTCTATGTGATAAATTTGAAAATCATATAAATCACTCGTAAGGAACGCAACCTTCGTAAATCGATTAGTAAAATTTGCCTTCCTCTGTCTATCTACAAAGGAAAATAAATAAATAGGAATATTAAAATTTTTAACACAGAATGTATGTATATAAATTCCGCTGAAAATTTAAATATTCATGTCCAAAGCAACAAGCACGTCCACAGATGGGTACGTGTGTTTAAGTATTAGTACTTTTACCTTGATTAGGTAGTCGATTATTGCTGACGACTTTCTACATATGGGTCGACAACGTTATAACAGACAACGGTAATACCGGGTTATTCCTGCCGTCCGCCCCTTCGTGACCGATTACGTGGGCGGAAACAGACCGAACCACGTCGAAATTTTTGCTCGCCGTTCGCCGGATTACGTCACGCGCAACGATTGCGCAACCAGGACCAACCCTCGCACACAGCCGGCACAGCTGGCATTCGATATGCCTCCGCGCGACGTCATCTTATAAATCATCAAGCAGCTCCGCGATTCCGGTCATCATAGACGCGTGAGAGAATCGTGTCCTCAATGTGTTCGTCCGCGACGACGCAATGGAGGAAAACGCAGCGGATCGACCCGGCAACGCGGGGGTGTAATGCCGCGCGGAGGAGGAAACCAGCACGAACGGACGGGGGAGTCCAGCGACACGAGATTTCACGACGGCTTCTCTCATCTCGGCTCCTGCGCCTCGCGCAGAAACGGCGAAATGCCGGGAGAAAGGTGAGACTGACTTACGTGGGCATCGACACGGCAGGACATCCGAGTTGCAGCAGACTCCTGGCGAGATACTCCGGTGCAGGTGCGTCGCTCGCGACAGGTACGTAGCGCCAGGCGGACCGGAACGATGTGTCGCAGCTCGCGCATCTATCCGACACCGCCGATGATGACGACGACGAGGTCGAGGTCGACGACGGCGACGACCTCGTGCTCGCGGTGTGCGCCCGCCGCCGTGCGATGACGCGAGCCTCGTTCTCCCGTGGGATCCTGAGAGAACCGCCGCGACGTAGCTGTGGTCCCAGCTCGCTCTCTGGAAATTCCAAGACGCAATGTGACTCATAATTGTGTCGATAAGCGGAACAGGTGGCGCGATTGCCGCGGAGGCGAAGTGCAGTGCAACGAATCGACATTTCAGCCCTTCTTTGTGGAAGGATGTTCTAATGTCTGTATATTCAGAAGGATCAGTGTGTTTGTTTGATACGTTTAGAAACTGGAATTACTTAGAGAGCTTTTAAATAACAGAAACGCACAAAAATGCTAACTTTCTAAAGAAGATGTCATCTCTAAAAAGTTCGCTCGCCACTTTATAATGTGTTCTAGAATCAATATTGGACATTAATAGATTAAAATGTTAATCGACTAAAATAATCGGTGAATAGATAAACAAAATAGTCAATTATGTTATGTACAAAATCGCGAATAACTAAGTCGTTTAATGAAATTAATTATTAAGGGAAGTTCTGATTTAGATCGCCGAAAAGTAGGACATTTTTTTTAATGAATGGAGATATTAATATAAGGTTTTGACTGTATACTATTTACAATATTATTATTTCAGTTATAAAAAATTATTTAAAAAATATAATAATGTAATCTAATCTAAGAAGTTCGCAACTGACGCAAGTTAGAACTATATTGGATATTAATAAATTAAAATATATTATATTATATTGGATATAATCAATTAAAATTGACTAAACTAATTGGCAAATCAATAAACAAAATTAATCAATTATCATATATAAAATTACAAATAACTTATTTAATGAAATTAATTATTAAGTGGAAGAGTTCTCTGGTTTAAGTTCTCGAAAAGTAGAAGACTTTTACGAATTTTTTTCTAAAAAATGAATGAATATATCAGTATAAGGTTTTGACCGTATTATTCATCATTTTTTTGAATATAAAAATTATTAAGAAAAAAAATTGAAGTTCCATCCAAACTTTTTGTGCTGGGCGAAGTATCGCGGGATGCCTGGTGGACAATATTGCAGCTCATATAATAAATGGGACAAGAAAATTTAAAAACTATATTAAATTTGCTGAAGTATGAACCTAAATCATTTGGAAAATTCTCAAAAACTAGTATTTCCATATTTCTTGGATAGTAAGTAAAAAAGAAAATTAGAGGAAACACACGCATGACTTGTAACTTCGAAATGTCAGTTTATTAAATTTCAATTTTTTGTATAAATATAACAAAGATTCACTGTCCAGCTAATGTAATATAGTTTTTAAAATTTCTTGTCCTATTTATTCCAAGTTATTACACAAATATTATATTTTAATGTTATCAGCAGTTAAAGATGTCCGGCGATATTGCCAATAAAACTGTTTCGACAAAAAACTTGCGCAGAATATTTTAATTTTTTAAAAGTAATTCTCATGTATTTAAAATAATGATAAATAATACAGTTAAAACTTTATATTGATATTTTTATTTATTTTTATATTAAAATATTCTTTGAAATGTCCACTACAAGAAAACACAAGTTTTACTATGAAAGAATAGTTTAAAATAAAGCATAATAAAGTTAAATGATGTTTTTTTAAAAATATCACTTAATTTGATTATATATACTTTTTACGTGAGGCAAAATGGGAGACATTTTACAAAACTTATTTCCAAATCATTAATTTTCAAATTTTTTAAAAAGTAATTCATTAAGACATGCAATACACACATAAGGATATATTATTGCACGTTTAATGATAATTATAATTATTTATTGACATTTTTCTCATAAAAACAATAAAGTTACTTTTCTATCTTTTTTTTAATAAAATATTAATGACAATCAATATTCAATAATTTCATTATGCCTCTAAATGTATAAGTTTAAATTAGATAGTATAAAGTATCATAGATTGTCGCGCGATATTTGTACATATTTAACTGAAATAACGAGTGATTTTGAATTGCAGAGGCGATTTGAATTGCAGGAGCGATTTTACGATAAATTGCCGTATCGCACTGCGATTCAAGAAAAGAAAATCGCAGTGCTTGCCCTACTCCGGTGGCGACCTTGCGATGTTCGCGGATGTGAGACTGGTTGCTGGATGTGTTGCGGAATCCTGCACTAGTAATTAATGCGCCTGGTGGGTATGTCAATCGAGCACACATACCTGGCGATCACTTTCTCTCTCTCGCGCGCGCGCGTGAAGCGGGCGTAAATCGGAGGTCGCGCGGAGGGACCGGCGACGGAAGAGAGTGCGCGAGGCGCGGTGCAACGGCGAGACACCGCGTGCCCGTCGTCCGACGAGCTTGCGACCTCGTCGCCGACGGCGCTTTAATTCGTTTAAAGCCTCCGGTCGCGCGTTACGTCAGGCCGCGTATTAAGCGCGGCCGCGTCTACGACTGCTACCTGCATTACGTGAACGCGTTATGCGCGCTGGTGCCTTTAGCTTAAGTGACTTAAGTCTCCCGTGGCCGTGCCACGTCGGCTTACCTTGGATCTGATACACCCGTAGAGCCATGTTAGCGAAAACCGAGGATTCGCTGTCGAGCGATCATCTCCACCGACGCCGATCAGCGAGATCCGGGAAACGCGCTCGCGGCCGCGTTTAAATCGACCTGTATCGCCGAGGAGACCGACCTTCTCGCGCGCGTTTCGAGAAACGAGAAATTCGGGTAACTGACGAGATCTCCCTCGATTTCAATGAACCCGATGACGTGCAATTTTGTATGGACGAGACAGACAAAGAGAGAAAGAGAGAGGGGTAGATTTGCACGCGACTCGAGAAACAGTCCGAGATTCCGAAACGGAACTCGATTATGCAGAACTCGATCCCGGATTCGAAGGTTAATTCACTGAATTAATTGGACGTAGGCGGGAGATAATTTGTCGATGCAAAGTGAGCGATGGGAGAGGTGAAACTGGCAAAAACAGAGCACAGATCGGTTTCTCACTCTGCGTCGGAGATACCGAGCGTGGTCAACGTTCGATGTTACGGCCTCGTGGCCCTCTGCCCAACGACTGAAAATTCGAGGACGCGGAGGCGCGCGTACACACGCGGCGGCACGTTCTTGGCAAAACGCCGCGCACCGAGCCGCCTGTGCCGTTCAGTGTCCGGGAAACGCCGCATCTTTCTCTCGGAAGATCCGCGACACGTAACTGCGAAACCGCGCCGCGATCGAACGCGATTCGGCAGTGAATTGCGGATAGGTGCGCGGCGCGACAATGCCCGGGATCGCGTAGGTGGTTCGCTGGAAAACTATCCCGTCGCGAAACTCCCTTCCACCTTCGGACGCCGGCGACTGCGGCAGGAGAAAAACGGTGACACCGCGTTTCGCGAAACTCGACCTTGCTCGCGACTGTTTTCGCAGGACGGAAAATTACGTGGCGAATCGTATTGAGCTGGTAGAGTAAAGGGGAGATTTGTCATTCTTCTAAATGAATTCTGTATGAATCCCGAATGAATCCGAGAGAAATTCTTAAATTATAGAAAATTTAGGTATCAGAAGAAAAATACTCGATATTGTTCATTTTATTCGTGACTTTACACGAGAAGAATTTCAAGGTAAAGGTTACTATAAAATTCTGTAGCCGAGAAATAGATCGACATTCTACAGCAATAATTTCACATATACGCTGTTTATATTTTAGGAACTGAAATGTGCTTCAAAAATTTCCTAATTTTCTAGCGAAATTTATTATATTCAGAGAAAAAATATTTAAGAGATAAAAAATATTTATTTGATTTATAAAAATAAAAGATATTTATTTTTATAGTATAACATATTTACTTATACTAACATAAAATACTTTTCAAATAGGAGAATATATATTATCTTAAAACTTTGCTTTTCTTGAAAGCAATTATCTTATTTAATAATTAATAAAAGGACTAATGAAGAATAAGGATAAAAGAAGAAAAAAAAATATAAGAATGAATATAAATAAAAAAATTTGGATTTATATGTAAATGTGTTATTAATATTCACGGAATAAATATTCTTTTATTTTTTAGATATTTTTTCTCTCAATGTGTGTTTTCAGTTTTTAATTTTTTAACTTTTTTAGTAAGTTCTTTGCATCTAATAGATTATCGCAGAGATCGATACTTTGTATTATAACACTCAAAATCACACATTCGAAATCTTTTTACATAAGAAGATATGTGAAGAATAAAATAAAATATAAAAATAAAACAAAAACTAAAATGAAGAGAAAAGTGAACATATATAATATATAAATAAAGCATACAAGAACAAAATAATGTCAATAAAACATAAAACTGTTATTTTTTCCTTGTATACTTAAATCTTCCACACGCTTTCGTTTCTATTACGTTAATAAGATACGAGATACGTGCTCGCGTTGATACGTTACAAAATATTGTTACAGCATTGCGGAGTATGCGTTGTTGCTGTCAACCGCGCGCGAATCTTCCTTATCTGTACGTCGGGAAACATAAACAAACATCCTAAAGATGTCGTCTTAATCTTCCCGATGCCTTTCGAACACTCTGCGTTCTCAGCATGTTGATATATTTCGTCACTTGAGATAACATGCGCGCATATCTCGCATTATATTATCTCACAAATATGTTGTAGCTGTATAATAACCGCCAGATTTACGAAAGCTCTTATCGGCTCGCTGCACCTTTTATCCGCGACGTTCACATCAATTTCCCGTCGTAGGCTTTCACTATACACTGCGGCTAATCTATTCGCGATAAGCGTCGATCGAACGCGCTCACGAGTAGGCGCTCTAAATAGGAAGCTCTTAGCAACAGAACTATTTATTTTTAGTTGAAAATGGCTCGCTCTCGCGTAATTATATTTAATTGCTGTTGATTGCGCTAGATGCAGCTGTTTTGCAAAACGCGATAAATACTCGTCTGTTATCGCATTATTATGTAATTCGCATGTGCGCTAGCACGTGATGCGTGTGTATATATGTGTTTGTGTTTGCGCACGCGCATCTAGATATGCATATCATCTAGATGTTGATGTCACTTATATTCTTAAAAGAGTCTTCTCGGAATATTTTAGAATAAACTATAGTAGCTCGAATATATCAAACG